CCCCCCCCCCGCAGGATGAGAAGGACCAGCTGAACGAGTACAAGAGCCACCTCTCCGGCCTGGCCAAGAGGGCCAAGGTCATCGTGCAGCTAAAGCCCCGCAGCCCGGCCCACCCAGTGCGGAGCCGCCTGCCCTTGCTAGCCGTCTGTGACTACAAACAGGCGGAGGTGAGGCGGTGGGCCATGAGGGAGAGAGCTGGGGGCTTCGGGGCTGGGCTACGGGTTGTTTTTTGTTGTTGTTTTTTATTTTTATTGTGAACTAAGTGATAGTTTACACGGTAGAACATCGGTTTTGCACTCATCCTATCATATTTTGTTTCATTGCAATGATTACAATTCCTCTGTGCATCATCATTCAACAGTATTTGTTTCTATTTCCTGTTTTTTGTTTTGTTTTTTTCCTTGAACGTACACAAAAACACTCAGGAACGAAGAATCATTTAAACAACCAAAGGGCACATTCTGCGAGCGTGCCTCCTGGCAGCCAGCACTCAGTTGTTCTTTCTCCACAAATCTGGAGTCCTCAGCTGCTCTCCCTCTCCATGTCATGCACTATGGTTTTAAAGCTGACATAATTTTAACTGGTCCCCAGGTGACTGTACACAAGGGGGACGAGTGCCAGCTGCTTGGGCCTGCTCAGCCATCCCACTGGGAGATCCTTAGCAGCACTGGCAACAAGGCCGCTGTGCCGTCTGTCTGCTTCCTTGTACCTCCACCCAATCAGGAGGCCCAGGAGGCTGTCACCAGGTAGGTGCCTGGGGGGCTGGCCTCAGGAGGGGGTGGGCGGCAGGCTGGTGCCTGGAGCTCTGCTGACCGTGCTCCTGACGGTCAGGCTGGAGGCCCAGCACCAGGCCCTGGTTGCAAAGTGGCACCAACTGCACGTGGACCTCAAGAGCCTCCTGGCCTGGCAGAGCCTCAGCCGAGATGTGCAGCTCATCCGCTCCTGGTCGCTGGTCACGGTATGGGAGCGGGGGGCTTCCCCAACCTGTCATGGTCCTGTCCCTAAGGGGCCCCTTGGGGGGTGGGTCTCAGCTGTGCTCAGCATCTGTGCTGCCCACAGTTCCGCACTCTGAAGCCAGAGGAGCAGCGCCAAGCCCTGCGCAGTTTGGAGATGCATTACCAAGCCTTCCTGCGTGATAGCCAGGATGCTGGCGGCTTCGGGCCTGAGGACCGGCTGCAAGCAGAGCGCGAGTATGGTTCCTGCAGCCGCCACTACCAGCAACTGCTGCAGAGCCTGGAGCAGGGTATGAGGCGGGCACGGGCAGTCATGGGCAGGCAAGGCCCACGGGAGTGTGAGGCATGGGGGCTGACTGTCATGTGTCCCCCAGGCGAGCAAGAGGAGTCTCACTGCCAGCGCTGCATCTCAGAGCTCAAGGACATCCGGCTGCAGCTGGAGGCCTGCGAGACTCGCACTGTGCACCGCCTGCGTTTGCCACTGGATAAGGAGCCGGCGCGCGAGTGTGCCCAGCGCATGGCCGAGCAGCAGGCAGGTGCCCAGTCCCAGCCCTGCCTGCCCACTTCCTTCCATCTGTCTCCTTATCGCTCTCCTCCCCTCCCCCTCCTTCCTAGGTCTCTTCTCATTTTTTTCCCCATCCCAGACCACCTGCTATGTCCACTCTCTCCCACCCCGCCCACTTCCTTTCCTCTCTCCTGTTTCCTCCAGCTCCTCCCTCCCTTCCCACATCTCTCTGCATCACCCATCTCAGCTCTTTCTAATCTGTCTGCCCCTGTCTCCCCACCCACATTGCCTGCGAGTCAGCTCTGGTGGTCACAGCTCTCTTTCTCCTCAGAAAACTCAGGCCGAGGTGGAAGGGCTAGGCAAAGGGGTCTCCCGGCTCTCTGCTGAGGCTGAGAAGGTGCTGGCCTCCCCGGAGCCCTCACCGGCCGCCCCCACCCTGCGCTCAGAGCTGGAGCTGACATTAGGAAAATTGGAGCAGGTCCGCAGTTTGTCCGCCATCTACCTGGAGAAGTGAGTGTGCAGAGGGGTGGGGATGGGACCAGGGTGGGGTCTGCAGCCTTGGACAGGTGGGGGGGGAGCAGAGGTCAAGGGGCTGGACAGGCTTCCCTTGGGTCTCTGTCACCCCAGCACACTGGATGGAATGTAGGGTTCCTCCTCCCCCTTCTGCTCCGTTTCCGGTCCCCCTCTGCTGGATACAGGGCCTTCTCTCTCCTAAAACATTTTCTGCACGTTTTAATTCAGAAACTTACGAGGCTGTACATACTTACAAGGTTCAGAGGTCAGCTTTCTCAGGCTCTGCACAGGGGAGCCCCCCAGACCCGCCTACTCCCTCAGAGGTCCCCTGAGGTTGTGTTCTGACAGTGGATAAGCATGACCTTCTCTTCTGAGCCCCAGCCTCCTGGCGGGGTCTGAGAGGCGAGCACCACATCTGCCCTGTAGCTGCCTGGTGGTTCCGTCTTGCTTCCTGGAGGGGCACATGCTCCCCGGTTGTCAGACGTGGAGTCTCGCCAGTCCCCAGGGCTCTGGCTGGCGGGAGCTGGGGCTGCAGACAGCACCTCCTGGAGGCCAGCCAGCTCTGATCCTGCTGTTTCCACAGGCTCAAGACCATCAGCCTGGTGATCCGCAGCACGCAGGGGGCTGAGGAGGTGCTCCGGGCTCACGAGGAGCAGCTCAAGGATGCACAGACTGTGCCCGCCACCCTCCCGGAGCTGGAGGCCACCAAGGCCTCCCTGAAGGTGTGTGTGCTGCCCATGTGGCAGGGGCCAGGCTGGGTGGAGGTGGGCGAGTGGGTGGGCTGGCGTTGAACCGCTTCCCCACAGGAGCTGAGGGCCCGAGCCGAGACACAACAGCCTGTGTTCGATACTCTGCGCGAGGAGTTGCGGGTAGCACAGGAGGTGAGCGAGCGGCTGCAGCAGCGACACGGCGAGCGTGACGTGGAGGTGGAGCGCTGGCGGGATCGCACCACACAGCTGCTGGAGCGCTGGCAGGCTGTGCTGGCTCAGGTGGACAGCCGGCAACGGGAACTGGAGCAGCTGGGCCGTCAGCTTCGCTACTATCGCGAGAGTGCCAGCCCGCTGGATGCCTGGCTACAGGATGCCAAGCGGCGGCAAGAGCAGATCCAGGCAGTGCCGTTGGCCAACAGCCAGGCTGTGCGGGAGCAGCTGCGCCAGGAGAAGGTGGGCTGGCCTGTATAGTGTGGTGGGGTGGGGCCTGGGGCCATGGGCGGGATGCCCCTTGTGGCTGCTGACTGCCCCCTTCTAGGCTTTGTTGGAGGAGATTGAGCGTCATGGGGAGAAAGTGGAGGAGTGTCAGAAGTTCGCCAAGCAGTACATCAATGCCATCAAGGTGAGCCTGCTTCGCCCTGGGTACTGCCCATAGTGGGTGGCTGATGGAGGTCCAGGGAAGCCCACGGGGCCTGGGCTAGTGCTAACCCAGTGTGTCCCCAGGACTACGAGCTCCAGCTGGTCACATACAAGGCACAGCTTGAGCCGGTAGCCTCGCCGGCCAAGAAGCCCAAGGTCCAGTCAGGGTCCGAGAGTGTCATCCAAGAGGTGAGCCGAGGGTCTGTCATGGGTGGGGTGGGGCCGGGCAGGCAGGCGGGCAGCTCAGCAGGGCTGACTCTTGACTCCTCCCTGGCCCAGTATGTGGACCTACGCACACGTTACAGCGAGCTGACCACGCTTACCAGTCAGTACATCAAGTTTATCAGCGAGACCCTCCGCCGCATGGAGGAGGAAGAGGTATGGAAAGTGGGGGGAAGGACGGAAACAGTCAGCGGCAGCCCACCCAGCTTCCTCTCCCCACCCTGGCCTCTCGTGCCTCTAAGTGACTTGCCTGTACTGCCCCTCCCTGCGGTGGAGCTTGGTTGCCGCCTCCTCTCTTGCCTGATGGTGGTGTGGTCCCCTCCATGGTGGTCTTCTTGGCTCTGGCGCACGTTCTTCCTGGGTATTTGGTGTTGACTGCTTGACTCTTGCTCGAGAAGGTTGTAGGGGCTGGGGTGAGATGTCCAGGTGCACTTGGTGGGGCAGTACCTAACTGCCCCTGAATGGCCCTGCCGTGTAGCCTGGTGTAGCTCCTCTGCCTCCTTTTGGCTCATGGGGACTTTCTGAGCTGCTTGATCTACGTTGCTGTCCCCTATGGATGCGCTGCTGGGATGGCCCCAGTTAGGGAGAAGCACTTGAGACTGGAGCCAGGCCTACGGGTGCCTACTGGGACTCGGGCGGGAAGATCAAGTCTGGGTGCCTACTGGGACTCAGGGGCCTAGATCGCCGGCCCTGCAAACCTGCTGCTTTGCTCTCTCTCTCTCTCACTGTCTGTCTGTCTGTCTCGTCGCCTGTCTGCGGGAAGAGGGGAGTGCGCCTGGGTCTCTCTCCCCAGGCTGGTGAGCACGGGAGCCAGACTGCACTCGCTGCCCCAGAGCCCCGGGAAGGGTGCACGTGCCCCCCCTCCCCCTCGCCTCGCTTTGTCCCCAGTGAGCTGTCGCATAGCTGAGCCTAGCTGCCGCTCGCTCACGCCTCTCTCTGCTCTCTCCTTCTCTCTGCCGCGGCCACAGCGGCTGGCTGAGCAGCAGCGGGCAGAGGAGCGGGAGCGGCTGGCCGAGGTGGAGGCCGCACTGGAGAAGCAGCGGCAGCTGGCCGAGGCCCACGCCCAGGCCAAGGCGCAGGCCGAGCGGGAGGCGCAGGAGCTGCAACGGCGCATGCAGGAAGAGGTGGCCCGGCGTGAGGAGGCGGCTGTGGACGCCCAGCAGCAGAAGCGCAGCATCCAGGATGAGCTGCAGCACCTACGGCTGAGCTCCGAGGCCGAGATCCAGGCCAAGGCCCAGCAGGTGGAGGCGGCCCAGCGCAGCCGCCAGCGCATCGAGGAGGAGATCCGTGTGGTGCGCCTCCAGCTGGAGACAACCGAGCGCCAGCGTGGCGGGGCCGAGGACGAGCTGCAGGCCCTGCGCTTGAGGGCGGAGGAAGCCGAGGCCCAGAAGCGGCAGGCACAAGAGGAGGCCGAGCGGCTGCGGCGGCAAGTGCAGGAGGAGAGCCAGCGCAAGCGGCAGGCAGAAGCCGAACTGACAGTGCGCGTCCAGGCGGAGGCCGAGGCAGCCCGCGAGAAGCAGCGGGCCCTCCGGGCACTGGAGGAGCTGAAGTTGCAGGCGGAAGAGGCGGAGCGGCGGCTGCGGCAGGCCGAGGCCGAGCGGGCACGCCAAGTGCAGGTGGCCCTGGAGTCAGCGCAGCGCAGCGCCCAGGTGGAGTTACAGAGCAAGCGCGCCTCCTTCGCGGAGAAGACGGCCCAGCTGGAGCGCACGCTGCAGGAGGAGCATGTGGCTGTAGCACAGCTGCGGGAGGAAGCGGAGCGGAGGGCCCAGCAGCAGGCCGAGGCCGAGCGTGCCCGCGAGGAAGCCGAGCGGGAGCTGGAGCGCTGGCAGCTTAAGGCCAACGAGGCGCTGCGGTTGCGGCTGCAGGCCGAGGAGGTGGCGCAGCAGAAGAGCCTGGCACAGGCCGAGGCGGAGAAACAGAAGGAGGACGCGGAGCGCGAGACGCGCAGGCGCACCAAGGCAGAGGAGCAGGCCGTGCGTCAGCGTGAGCTGGCGGAGGAAGAGCTGGAGCGGCAGCGTCAACTGGCGGAGGGCACGGCACAGCAGCGCCTACTGGCCGAGCAGGAGCTGATCCGGCTGCGGGCCGAGACGGAACAGGGCGAGCAGCAGCGGCAGGTGCTGGAGGAGGAGTTGGCGCGGCTGCAGCGGGAGGCAGCCGCTGCCGCACTGAAGCGCCAGGAGCTGGAAGCCGAGCTGGCCAAGGTGCGGGCGGAGATGGAGGTGCTGCTGTCCAGCAAGGCACGGGCTGAAGAGGAGTCGCGCTCCACCAGTGAGAAATCCAAGCAGAGGCTGGAGGCCGAGGCCGGCCGCTTCCGCGAGTTGGCCGAGGAGGCCGCCCGCCTGCGCGCGCTGGCCGAGGAGACCAAGCGGCAGCGGCAGCTGGCAGAGGAGGACGCCAGCCGGCAGAGGGCAGAGGCAGAGCGGGTGCTGGCTGAGAAGCTGGCCGCCATCAGCGAGGCCACGCGGCTTAAGACTGAGGCTGAGATTGCGCTCAAGGAGAAGGAGGCGGAGAACGAGCGGTTGCGGCGGCTGGCCGAAGACGAAGCTTTCCAGCGTCGCCGGCTGGAGGAGCAAGCCTCACAGCACAAGGCTGACATCGAGGAGCGCCTGGCGCAGCTGCGAAAGGCCTCCGAAACTGAGCTGGAGCGACAGAAGGGGCTGGTGGAGGACACGCTGCGGCAGCGGCGACAGGTAGAAGAGGAGATCCTCGCGCTCAAGATGAGCTTTGAGAAGGCCGCTGCCGGTAAGGCGGAGCTGGAGCTGGAGCTGAGCCGCATTCGCGCCAACGCCGAAGACACGCTGCGCAGTAAGGAGCAGGTGGAGTTGGAGGCCACGCGGCAGCGGCAGCTAGCGGCTGAGGAGGAGCAGCGGCGCCGCGAGGCCGAGGAGCGTGTGCAGAAGAGCCTGGCGGCCGAGGAGGAGGCAGCGCGACAACGCAAGGCTGCGCTGGATGAGGTCGAGCGGCTCAAGGCCAAGGTGGAAGAGGCACGGCGCCTGCGTGAGCGGGCAGAGCAGGAGTCGGCCCGGCAGCTGCAGCTGGCGCAGGAGGCTGCGCAGAAGCGGCTGCAGGCGGAGGAGAGGGCGCATGCCTTTGCCGTGGAGCAGAAGGAGCAAGAGCTGCAGCAAACGCTGCAGCAGGAGCAAAGTGTGATGGACCGCCTGCGCGGTGAGGCAGATATGGCACGGCGTGCGGCCGAGGACGCTGAGGAGGCGCGCGAGCGGGCCGAGCGTGAGGTGACACAGTCTCGGCGGCAGGTGGAGGAGGCGGAGCGTCTGAAGCTAGCAGCTGAGGAGCAGGCGCAGGCCCGTGCGCAGGCGCAGGCCGCCGCGGAGAAGTTACGCAAGGAGGCGGAGCAGGAGGCAGTGCGGCGCGCACAGGCGGAACAGGCGGCCCTGCGGCAGAAGCAGGCTGCCGACGCGGAGATGGAGAAACACAAGAAGTTCGCGGAACAGACGCTGCGGCAGAAGGCGCAGGTGGAGCAGGAGCTGACTACGCTGAAGCTGCAGCTGGAGGAGACGGACCACCAGAAGGGTATCCTGGACGAGGAGCTGCAGCGGCTGAAGGCCGAGGTGACGGAGGCCGCCCGCCAACGCAGCCAGGTGGAGGAGGAGCTCTTCTCGGTCCGCGTGCAGATGGAGGAGCTGAGCAAGCTGAAGGCACGCATCGAGGCAGAGAACCGCACGCTCATTCTGCGTGACAAGGACAACACACAGCGCTTTCTGCAGGAGGAGGCCGAGAAGATGAAGCAGGTGGCTGAGGAAGCCGCGCGGCTGAGTGTGGCGGCCCAGGAAGCTGCGCGGCTGCGGCAACTGGCCGAGGAGGACCTAGCTCAGCAGCGGGCCCTGGCCGAGAAGATGCTCAAGGAGAAGATGCAGGCGGTGCAGGAGGCCACGCGCCTCAAAGCGGAGGCTGAGCTGCTGCAGCAGCAGAAGGAACTGGCGCAAGAGCAGGCCCGGCGGCTGCAGGAAGACAAGGAGCAGATGGCGCAGCAGTTGGTTCAGGAGACGCAAGGCTTCCAGCGGACCCTGGAAGCAGAGCGGCAGCGGCAGCTGGAGATGAGCTCCGAGGCCGAGCGCCTCAAGCTGCGTGTGGCGGAGATGAGCCGGGCCCAGGCCCGCGCGGAAGAGGATGCCCAGCGCTTCCGGAAGCAGGCCGAGGAGATTGGCGAGAAGCTGCATCGCACTGAGCTCGCCACGCAGGAGAAGGTGACGTTGGTGCAGTCGCTGGAAATCCAGCGTCAGCAGAGTGACCATGACGCTGAGCGCCTGCGGGAGGCCATCGCCGAGCTTGAGCGTGAGAAGGACCGGCTCAAGCAGGAGGCCAGGCTACTGCAGCTCAAGTCCGAGGAGGTACCAGCCCCGCCCCGGTGCTGGCAACCGCGGCGGGTGGGCCGGCAGGGAGGGTGGGTCCGCCCCTCAGGTGTACGGCACTGACAGTCTTCCTCCTTCTACAGATGGAGACAGTGCAGCAGGAGCAGCTGCTGCAGGAAACGCAGGCTCTGCAGCAGAGCTTCGTCTCCGAGAGGGACAGCCTGCTGCAGCGTGAGCGCTTCGTGGAGCAGGAGAAGGCCAAGCTGGAGCAGCTCTTCCAGGACGAGGTGGCCAAGGCGAAGCAGCTGCGGGAGGAGCAGCGGCGGCAGCAGCAGCAGATGGAGCAGGAGAAGCAGCAGCTGGTGGCCAGCATGGAGGAGGCCCTGCGGCGGCAGCGGGAGGCCGAGGAGGGTGTGCGGCGCAAGCAGGAGGAGCTGCAGCACTTGGAGCAGCAGCGGCGGCAGCAGGAGCAGCTGCTGGCCGAGGAGAATCGCAAGCTGCGGGAGAAGCTGCAGCGGCTAGAGGAGGAACGTCGTGTGGTGCTGACGGAGGAGGTCACTGCCTTGCAAGCCTCCAAGGTCCTGCCCAATGGCCGGGATGCGCCTGATGGCCCGGGTGCAGAGGAAGATCTGCGACTCGCCTTCGAGGGCCTGAGGCGCAAGGTCCCTGCTCAGAGGTTGCAGGAGGCAGGCATTCTGAGCACTGAGGAGCTGCAGCGGCTGGTGCAGGGCAGCGCCACGGTGGCGGAGCTCTCGCGGCGTGAGGATGTGAGCCGCTACCTGCAGGGCACCGGGAGCATTGCTGGGCTGATGCTGAAGCCAACCAACGAGAAACTGAGTGTCTACGCTGCCTTGCAGAGGAAGCTGCTGAGCCCAGGCACCGCTGTGGTGCTGTTGGAAGCCCAGGCAGCCTCGGGCTACCTTCTGGACCCCGTGCGCAACCGGCGGCTGACTGTCAACGAGGCCGTGAAGGAAGGTGTGGTGGGCCCTGAGTTGCATCACAAGCTGCTGTCGGCTGAGCGCGCTGTCACCGGCTACAAGGACCCCTACACGGGCGAGCAGATCTCCCTGTTCCAGGCCATGCAGAAAGACCTCATCGTGCGCGACCATGGCGTGCGTCTGCTGGAGGCCCAGATCGCCACGGGCGGCATCATCGACCCCGTGCACAGCCACCGCGTGCCTGTGGAGGTGGCCTACCAGCGCGGCTACTTCGATGAGGACATGAACCGCGTGCTGGAGGACCCGGGCGACGACACCAAGGGCTTCTTCGACCCCAACACGCACGAGAACCTCACCTACCTGCAGCTGTTGGAGCGCTGCGTGCCAGACCCCGACACCGGGCTGCGCCTTCTTCCGCTCACGGACAAGGCTGCCAAGGGTGGCGAGCTGGTGTACTCAGACTCAGAGGTACGTGACGTGTTTGAGAAGGCTACTGTGTCCGCACCTTTTGGAAAGTTCCAGGGCAAGACGGTTACCATCTGGGAGATCATCAACTCCGAGTACTTCACGGCAGAGCAGCGGCGAGACTTGTTGCGCCAGTTCCGCGCAGGCAAGATCACGGTGGAGAAGGTCATCAAGATCGTCATCACGGTGGTTGAGGAACGCGAGCAGAAGGGCCAGCTGTGCTTCCAGGGCCTGCGCTCCCTGGTGCCTGCCACCGAGCTACTCGAGAGCAAAGTGATTGGCCAGGACACGTATGGTCAGCTACAGCGGGGAGAGCGCTCTGTTCAGGAGGTGGCCGAGGTAGAATCTGTGCGGCGGGCCCTGCGGGGTGTCAACGTCATTGCAGGTGTGTGGTTGGAGGAGGCGGGGCAGAGGCTGAGCATCTACGAGGCTCTCCGGAGAGACCTGCTGAAGCCCGAGGTGGCCGTGGCCCTGCTGGAGGCCCAGGCAGGCACGGGACACATCCTCGACCCCACCACCAGCACGCGATTGACGGTGGACGAAGCGGTACGTGCCGGCCTGGTGGGGCCTGAGTTGCATGAGAAGCTGCTCTCGGCTGAGAAGGCTGTGACAGGTTATCGGGATCCCTACTCGGGGCAGAGTGTTTCCCTTTTCCAGGCCCTGAAGAAGGGCCTCATCCCCAAGGAGCAGGGTCTACGCCTGCTGGACGCCCAGCTGTCTACAGGCGGTATCGTGGACCCCAGTAAGAGCCACCGCGTGCCCCTGGAAGTGGCCTTTGCACGAGGCTACCTGGACCAGGAGACGAGCAGGGCCCTGTTCACACCCCGGGATGACGCCAAGACCTTCTACGACCCTGGTGCGCAGGAGCCAGTCACGTATGGCCAACTGCAGCAGCGATGCCGACCCGATCAGCTCACTGGGCTCAGTCTACTGCCGCTCTCTGAGAAGGCTGCTAGGGCCCGGCAGGAGGAGCTCTACTCCAACACGCAGGCCCGAGAAACCTTTGAGAAGACCACCGTCGAGGTCCCCGTGGGCGGCTTCAAGGGCCGGCCGGTTAGCGTCTGGGAGCTCATCAGCTCTGAGTACTTCACGGAGGAGCAGAGGCAGGAGCTGCTGCGGCAGTACCGCACGGGCAAGGTCACGGTGGAGAAGGTCATCAAGATCCTCATCACCATCATTGAGGAGACTGAGACACGGCGGCAGGAGAAGCTGACCTTCAGTGGTCTGCGGGCCCCAGTCCCAGCCTCTGAGCTTGTGGACGCCAGGATCCTCAGCAGGGCCCAGTTTGAGCAGCTCCGGGAAGGTAAGACATCAGTCAAGGACCTGTCTGAGGTGGATACTGTGCGCACGCTGCTCCAGGGCAGCGGCTGTGTGGCTGGCATCTATCTGGAGGACTCTAAGGAGAAGGTGACCATCTACGAGGCCATGCGGCGAGGCCTGCTCAGGCCCAGCACAGCCACACTGCTGCTTGAGGCGCAGGCCGCCACCGGCTTCCTGGTGGACCCTGTGCGCAATCAGCGGCTCTACGTCCACGAGGCCGTCAAAGCCGGGGTGGTGGGGCCCGAGCTCCATGAGAAGCTGCTGTCAGCTGAGAAGGCCGTGACTGGCTACAAGGACCCCTACTCTGGCTCTACCATCTCCCTCTTCCAGGCCATGCAAAAGGGTCTGGTCCTCAGGGACCATGGCGTGCGACTGCTGGAGGCTCAGATCGCCACAGGTGGCATCATCGACCCCGTACACAGCCACCGCGTGCCCGTGGAGGTGGCCTACCAACGTGGCTACTTCGACAAAGACATGAACCGCGTGCTGTCAGACCCCAGCGACGACACCAAGGGCTTCTTTGATCCCAACACGCACGAGAACCTCACCTACCTGCAGCTGCTGAGACGCTGTGTGGAGGACCCTGAGACGGGGCTCTTGCTCCTGCCTCTGAAAGCAGCGGAGGGGTCCGAGGTGGTGGAGACCACACAGATGTACACCGAGGAGGAGACACGGCGGGCGTTCGAGGAGACGCAGATCGAGATCCCGGGTGGGGCTCCCGGCTCGTCCTCCATGTCCTTGTGGGAGGTGATGCAGTCAGACCTGATCCCTGCGGAGCAGCGGGCCCGCCTGATGGAGGACTTCCAGGCCGGCCGGGTGACCAAGGAGCGCATGATCATCATCATCATCGAAATCATCGAGAAGACGGAGATCATCCGCCAGCAGAACCTAGCCTCCTATGACTACGTGCGCCGGCGCCTCACTGCCGAGGACCTCTATGAGGCCCGCATCATCACCCTCGAGACCTACAACCTGCTCCGCGAGGGCACCAAGACCTTGCGTGAGGTGCTGGAGGCTGAAGCTGCCTGGCGCTACCTCTACGGTACGGGCTGCGTGGCTGGCATCTACCTGCCTGGCTCCAGGCAGACGCTGACTGTCTATCAGACCCTCAAAAAGGGGCTGGTGAATGCCGAGGTGGCCCGCCTGCTGCTGGAGGCCCAGGCGGCCACGGGCTTCATGCTGGATCCGCTGAAGGGTGAGCGGCTGACAGTGGACGAAGCTGTGCGCAAGGGCCTGGTGGGGCCCGAGCTGCATGACCGATTGCTATCAGCTGAGCGCGCCGTGACTGGCTACCGCGACCCCTACACCGAGCAGACCATCTCGCTATTCCAGGCCATGAAGAAGGATTTGATTCCGGCCGAGGAGGCGCTACGCCTGCTGGACGCCCAGCTGGCCACGGGCGGCATCATCGACCCTCGTCTGGGCTTCCACCTGCCGCTGGAGATGGCCTACCAGCGCGGCTACCTCAACAAGGACACATACGACCAGCTCTCAGAGCCCAGCGAGGTCCGCAGCTACATGGATCCCTCCACAGATGAGCGGCTCAGCTACACTCAGCTGCTCAAGAGGTGCCGGCGGGATGACAAGAGTGGCCAGATGCTCCTGCCTCTCTCAGACACACGCAAGCTGACTTTCCGCGGGCTGCGTAAGCAAATCACGGTGGAGGAGCTGGTGCGCTCGCAGGTGATGGACGAGGCCACGGCCCTGCAGCTGCAAGAGGGCCTAACGTCCATCGAGGAGGTCACCAAGAACCTGCAGAAGTTCCTCGAAGGCACCAGCTGCATTGCCGGCGTCTTCGTCGATGCCACCAAGGAGCGGCTCTCCGTGTACCAGGCAATGAAGAAGGGCATCATCCGACCTGGCACGGCCTTTGAACTGTTGGAGGCCCAGGCGGCCACTGGCTACGTCATCGACCCCATCAAGGGCCTTAAGCTGACAGTGGAGGAGGCTGTGCGCATGGGCATCGTGGGGCCCGAGTTCAAGGACAAGCTGCTGTCAGCCGAGCGTGCCGTCACCGGCTACAGAGACCCCTACTCTGGGAAACTCATCTCTCTCTTCCAGGCCATGAAGAAGGGGCTGATCCTCAAGGACCATGGCATCCGCTTGCTCGAGGCCCAGATAGCCACAGGTGGGATCATCGACCCCGAGGAGAGCCACCGTCTCCCCGTGGAGATGGCCTATAAGCGCGGCCTCTTCGATGAGGAGATGAACGAGATCCTGACCGATCCCTCCGATGACACCAAGGGCTTTTTCGACCCTAACACTGAGGAGAACCTCACGTACCTACAGCTCATGGAGCGTTGTATCACGGACCCGCAGACGGGGCTATGCCTGCTGCCGCTCAAGGAGAAGAAGCGGGAGCGGAAGACGTCCTCAAAGTCCTCCGTGCGCAAGCGCCGTGTGGTGATTGTGGACCCCGAGACGGGCAAGGAGATGTCGGTGTACGAGGCCTATCGCAAGGGCCTCATCGACCACCAGACCTACCTGGAGCTGTCAGAACAGGAGTGCGAATGGGAGGAGATCACCATCTCATCGTCGGACGGCGTGGTCAAGTCAATGATCATTGACCGGCGCTCAGGACGCCAGTACGACATCGATGAGGCCATCTCCAAGAGCTTCATCGATCGCTCAGCGCTGGACCAGTACCGCGCCGGCACACTCTCCATCACCGAGTTCGCCGACATGCTCTCCGGCAATGCTGGCGGCTTCCGTTCCCGATCCTCCTCTGTGGGCTCCTCCTCCTCCTACCCACTCAGCCCTGCCGTCTCCCGCACCCAGCTGGCCTCCTGGTCAGACCCCACGGAGGAGACTGGCCCGGTGGCCGGCATCCTCGACACGGAGACGCTGGAGAAGGTGTCCATCACTGAGGCCATGCACCGTAACCTGGTGGACAACATCACAGGACAGCGACTGCTGGAGGCACAGGCCTGCACCGGCGGTATCATTGACCCCAGTACGGGCGAGCGTTTCCCTGTCACCGAGGCCGTCAACAAGGGCCTGGTGGACAAGATCATGGTGGACCGCATCAGCCTGGCACAGAAGGCCTTCTGCGGCTTCGAGGACCCGCGCACCAAGACCAAGATGTCAGCTGCCCAGGCGCTCAAGAAGGGCTGGCTGTACTACGAGGCCGGTCAGCGCTTCCTGGAGGTACAGTACCTGACGGGCGGGCTGATTGAGCCCGGGGCGCCGGGCCGCGTGCTGCTTGACGAGGCTCTGCAGAGGGGCACTGTGGATACCCGCACCGCCCAGAAGCTGCGTGACGTCAGTGCTTACTCCAAGTACCTCACCTGCCCCAAGACCAAGCTCAAAATCTCCTACAAGGACGCGCTGGACCGCAGCATGGTGGAGGAAGGCACCGGGCTGCGGCTGCTGGAGGCCGCTGCCCAGTCCAGCAAGGGCTACTACAGCCCCTACAGCGTCAGCGGCTCTGGCTCCACCGCCGGCTCCCGGGCCGGCTCCCGCACCGGCTCCAGGGCTGGCTCGAGGCGCGGCAGCTTTGACGCTACTGGCTCTGGCTTCTCCATGACCTTCTCCTCCTCCTCGTACTCCTCCTCTGGCTATGGCCGCCGCTATGCCTCGGGGTCCTCAGCCTCACTGGGGGGCCCCGAGTCTGCAGTGGCCTGAACCCCTGCCTGCCCCCGTCCCTGCTCTGCATGCAGCCAGGTTCCTCCTCGCGAGACCATAGGCCTTCCTCTCATGTTTAAAGGAGTCGTTCTCCAACGCGGTGCCTGAATTTTAACCAAAAAGACCAGACTAACATAGTAATAATATATACCTGCTGTCCAGATGACCTGCGCTTGGGGGGTGGGGCCGACGGGCCCCACTGACCACCTCCCCCTTGGGCTACCCCACCACCCCTACTTGTCACTCACCACAGCCAGGTGCCTTGAGGGTCCTGAGCCAGGCCCCCGTCCCCTCCCCTCCCTAGCAGGCCCTCTCCTGGGGAGTCGATGAACATTTTTCCTCAGCATTTCAGGACTGCCTGCTGGGGAGGGGGTCCCGGGTCAGCCATGTCTTCCAGCGTGCCCAGAGGAGCCCCTTCCCTGTGGGAAGATAGGGGTCCAGTCGGCAGGCCCTGCCAGGGCCCCATTCTCAAATCACTGTCATAGCTCGTTGTCTGTCCCCAGCACCCACTCTTCCGGACCCTGGGCCTCTGGCTGCAGTCTTCCAGCCTTGGCTCCCCAGTAAAGTGCCTTCTGTGTCCTCCCTGGCCCCCGGGGCCCCAGAAGCTCCCCCCCGGGTGGGAGGTGGATGGGCCAAGCAAGGTTTGCCTTTGAGGTCCCAGTTCTCAGGCTGGACTGCTGAGGGTGGTCTAGCGGGGTTGGAGCTCTACAGGGCTGTTCTATCCTTGTCTGTGGAGGGGCCCACTTTGGATGCCCACTCAGACTGAGGCTACTGCCTGCCCGTCTCCCAGGGAACCCCAACCCAGAGCAGACACAGCCTCTCTGCTCAGCCAAGTGGGGTGTAAACCCCCACCTGGTGCACCCCACCCCGATCTGACCCAGCTCTGGCCTTGGTGGCCCTCATCCCTGCCCCCACCCTCTGACTGAGCTTTGCATGTTCCACTAACCCAGGCAGGTGGCGGGGGAGGGGCCGGGCTGCCGGCCACCTTGGTGAGGGCAGAACACTAACCTGACCATGGGCGGGGGCCGTGCTGCACCCGCTCCCCAATAAAGCATTTCCAACCTTTCTGTGAGTGTCACCTCGTCTTTTGTTGTTGGGTCAGGTGTGCGTTGGGGTGGATGCTGGAGCCCCAGGCTCAGTGCTGGCCAGGGACACAGCAGCTCGTGGCCAGGCCTGCCAGGCTGACTGGAAGGCCTGGAGGGAGCGGCTGCCCTCAGTCCAGGTGACAAACCTGAGGCCAGACATGTGGTCAGCACTTACGTGCTTGCCCTTTCCTGTGAGCTGGGGGCTCCCCCTCCCCCTGTAAGGGGAAGGGTCACTTTGCTGGCTGAATGGCTGTTGTAGTGAGGGACACACCTTTGCAGTCCACTCCTTGACCCACTCGCTCCACACAGCCCAGTGACTTCGTCTGGGCCCAGCGGCTCCGTGACTTGTGTCTTTGCAAGTCTACAAGGGGAGGTGAGTGGGATGGGCTAGAGCCCTCACTGCTGCCGCTGGCGTCAGCCCATGACTGGCTCCTATTTCCCTGTTCTGTCTTAGTTGGGGAGGTGACCCAGACCCTCATTCCTCCAGGACAGGAGTCTGCTTCCTTGTCGGGAGATGGTGAGTGGGGGATCAGCCCTGCCAGCATGGTGGCTGCACACTGGTCCCTTGGGAAGGAGAACCTGAGGTTTCCTGGTGGCAGCTATAGTTTCAAGTGAGACTCTAATCCGGCACCAGGATCCTAGCTTATGTGTAGAGACAGGAAGCTGCATAGAGTGTGGTGAGCAAGGCCACCCCTGCTTGCTCCTATGATTGCCACCCCACATGTCACACCGACAGGATACAGCACCATGCAAGGGCCAGTGAGTCAAGCTCCAGGCAGCGTCCTAAGGACAGTGCCACGGCCCAGTAGGGCATCATCTGCAAGGAGTGTTCCAGTTGACGAGAGTCGATTCCACCAGCCAGACTGGCAGCTGCCGGGTGGAGGCAGGCGCGGGAGGACCGGTGAAGCTATGGCCCTGCACCACTTAAGCAGCTGCTGGGAAGTGGGTTCCAGGGGCTGAGGCAAGGTTCACGTAGAAGCCTTCTGGGAGATGAGTTAACTGAGGCACCGCAGGCTAGAAAGGTGAGCCCCCGCCTGGAATGCCTGAATGATCTTATCCAAGGTGAAGAGCTCTGGAGTCATCTGTTTGCCCGCCATGGAAGTGTGGTAGGAGCCTCTGGCATTCTTTATTGCCGGAGGGTGGGGCATGCAGCAGTAAGGGGAGCTGGCCATCGTTGGGGGGCAGGGCGGGGTGATGTCACTATTGTGAGGATTAAGTTTCTCTCGGCTCCTTGGCTGCTCTTATCAGGAGACCACCAGAGAGGAATGAGGCCCTGGCGAGTCATGGGTCCATTGGGTTGTTTGGTGCTCACAGGTGGTCATCAACATGAACTACAAGGTCCACTCCCACACGCCCACCCAACAGTACACTCTTCACGTGTGCTCTCCTTGAGCCCTCATCTCGAGTGTCTGCACCTGGGTCTCTCCATGGGCGCTTCAGCTTGATGGCTTCTCTCGATGTGTGTGTCTTCACTGTCTTAGTTACTTCATGAAAGCAGATGGAAGGAACACAGTCACGGTACCAAAAGGAATTCGTGGATGATCAGTCATTTCAGGAGGTACCACGTGGGCAGGCTGGCTGTCAACTGTTGGATGGGAAAGAGAAAAACCCTCTGCCCGCAAAACACAAGGAAACAAAACAGAATAAACAAGGAACCAATGAAAATAGAAAAAACCCTGCAGCGTCCAGAAAAAATGAAATATAATAATTATAAAGATGAAATAGAGACAGGGAAATGGAGCTACAGAGCAGAGAAGAGAAGAGGAAGATTTTTTTTTCAAATGTTTTATTGTGAATTATGTGATAGTTTACATGAGAGAACTTAGTTTTACATTCATTCCATCGTATATCATCTCATTGCCATGGTTCCAATCCCCTCCATGCATCATCAACCAACCAAAGGGTATATCCCAGAAACCCGCCCCCTACACTCTCCGGGACACCCCACGCCCCCACCCCCCACCCTCCCGCTCCCAGTTTTCGGCCCACAGTCCCTTTCCCTCTCTGGATCCAAAGTCCCCAGCCATTTTATCTCTCCACATCATCATCTCTGTCTCCATCTCAGGCATCTCTGTTTCTCTGGGTAGTGTCCCGCTCTCAGTCCTTCTCCGTTGATGGTCCCAGAGACCTCCGCTCCTAGACTAGAGAACTAATCACTCCCTTCCTTGTTACAAAACGTCTACCTTTGCATTTCCAACCCTCATAATCTGTCCTGATAAGCATTATTCACTACAGTATCACGAGTTACCCATCTGTATCTCCTTTCATCAGCTCTGCCCAGACAGATTGAATAGTACCCACTGGAGATTCTGCCTTTCTCCATGACCCCTAGCACTAGGTTCCCTCTTGAAAGCTTGTAAGCCAGTCACTTCTTGCCTTTGTAGTCTCCCACTCCCCATTTGAGTATCCCATGTCCAAGTTGCCCATCTCTGTCCGCTCTGTGAGTGGAGGGGGTGGGAATGATTCTTGCCCTGTTTTGAGTTGCTGCTCCATAGGTGTAGGTCAAGTTCATCAGATTGTATCAGCTCACTTTTTTTTCTCTCTCTTCTTTCTTCTCCTGGTTGAGCTCCGATCATCCAGTCATCCGCTCCAGGTCACGTGGGTATCATCTGCAAGTGTGGGCGGCTCCTGTGCATATGTCCTCTCTTCCCAACAGCCGGTAGCTCCACTCTCCTCTCGACTCCTTTGTGGCCACACCACTGTCTCTGGGCCCAAGAGTCCCCAGGTGGAGAGGAGGAAATTTTAAATAACAAAAACCAGTGAGTGCAAAAATGAAAAGAGTAGTGAAGAAAGCTCAAAGGGAGGGGGAGAAATGAAGGGAAATGAGAACCAGAAGAAAAGGGAGAAAAGAGAAGAGATACAAAGTTTAAAATTCGAGGGAATGGGAGAAAAATAATTTTTAAAAAACTACAAAAGGAAACGCATACCAAGTGGAGCTGTCGGCTGCAGAGGAGAAAAGCCTGGGGGCTCGTGCGAGCCAAGGTGCTCACAGGTGTTGGAGAAGAATCTCTGAAGCTCCTGGGCTGCCAGAAGAACAAACCTGTTTTGGAAGAAGTACAATCAGAAAGCTTGTTAGAAGCGAAGATGGCAAGACTTGGTCTCAGGTACTTAGGACATGGAGGGACCTGGCCCTGGAAAAGAACATTATGGTTGGTGAAAAAGAAGCCGATTTCCCCAAAAGACAGACTAACGCAGTGGTTGCAAAAGTGGGCTCACATCTAGCAATGGTGAGGATGGAGAGGGACCGGGTAGCATTCCGTTCTGTTGTGCATAGGGTTGCTATGAGTTGGAGCTGACTGGACAACACCTCACAACAAGAACACTTACTTGGCTGTGAGATAAGAGGTGGGGTAAAGAAGAGCTGTCATGTAGATAGTAACATTTTTAACTTTTATTAAGAAAAAAACATCATGATCGCATATTTAGTACAAAAAAAAGGTGTACCATATGATCCAGAACTAGTGGTACTGCAGGAAGGAATCGAAGCATCACTGTAGATACCGGCAGAAAACCAGGCTCCAGCAATTGACGGAATTTAAATTGAAATGTTACAACAAACTGATGCAGCACTGGAGGCTCTTATCTGTGTCAAGAAATTTGGAAGACAGCTACCTGGACAACCCATTGGAAGAGATCCGTATTTGTGCCCATTCCAAAGAGAGGCTATCCAATAGAATGCAGAAATCATCTAACGATATCATTGTATCACATGCAAGTCACCACTTACAATGAAGTTAATGATGAGAAAACAATAGCTGTTAGTATATCGACAGAAATTCAAGCTGGATTCAAAATAAGATGTGGAACAAGGAATATCATTGCTGACATCAGATGGATCTTGACTGAAAGCAGAGGATACCAGAAAGATGTTTACTGGCATTTTATTGACTATGCTAAGGCTTTCAACTGTGTGCATCATATGAAACTATGGATAACATTGCGAAGAAGTATTCCAGAATAATTCATTGTGGTCATGAGGAATCTGTAGATAGAACAGAACAAGGGGTTATTGAATGATTTAAAGGAAAGCTGTGCATCAGAATGGTTTCTTTTCACCACACTTATTCAATCTGTATGCTGAGCAAATAATACAAGAAACTGGATTCTATGAAGAAGAATGTGCATCAGGATTGGAGAAAAACTTACTAACAACCTGCGATATGCAGATGATACAACCTTGGTTGCAGAAACGAAAGAGAATTTTAAGTACTTACTGAGGAAGATCAAAGAGCACAGCCTTCAGTATGGATTGCACCTCAATGTGCAGAAAATGGAAATCCTCACAACTGGACCCAGAAATAACATGAAAAATGAAGAAAAGATTGAAGCTGTCAAAGACTTCATTTTGCTTGTATTCACAATCAGTGCTCATGGACACAGCAGTCAAGAAATCAAACAACATAGGATGTGGTGTTGTGAATGAGCTAACGTCTCTTCTAGTCACAGTCTAACGCGCACCGAATAATGTTCCTGCCCTGCTAGGTCTGGGTAAGAGAAGGTGGGAGAAGTTGCTGATAGGATGGCACAAAACAGCTGTGGATGCTAGCAGAGTT